TTTGCCCCTGAGCTGCACCCCGAGCCCTCTCTGTAGTTTTTCAGATTTATGATACAAATTCTCCCTAAATTGTTCATGGTGGCCTTGAATTCTCTGTATCCCAGGCAGGCCTTGAACTTGAGCGTCTCTTGCTTCTGTCACCCAAGTAGCTGGGATCACAAGTCTGTGCTACCACTTTTGGCATGGATGATTTTTGTTATTTGTTTCTTTTTTTCTCGAGACAAACAAGAGATCTCACTCTTCAGCCCAGGCTGGTCTGGTATCTACTGTGTAGTCCAGTCTGGCTTCAAACTCACAGGATTCCTTTGCCTTAGCTTCCCAAATGCTGAAGTTACAGATGTGAGCCACTGTGCCCACCCTTCAACTGACATATTTAAAAAACAAAGACAAGAGAATTGGGGACAGAGATGGCAACAAACTCAGAGGAAAGAGATGGCGGAGGCTGTAGTATTATCGCTCTGGGGCTTTAGGAGGAAGAAGAGTCTGGTCATGTGGCTTTGCCACAGAAGCCTCTAGAACTGTAAAGAAATCAATTTGGTTTTTCTGATATTTTGAGACAGCATTTCACTATGGAGCCCAGGCTGGCCCTAAGCTTATGATTCTCCTCCCTGAACTTCCCTAGTGCCAGGATTACAAATAGGTGTCACCATGCCTGGTAGCTTCGTTTTCAGGCCACTGCATTTGTACTACTTCATTCTAGTGGCCCAGGAAATGAACAGAGCTATGCTACGGCTACTGAGCAGACCTGAACAGTCGTGGGAGTCTGGCTCACAGTCTGAAACTATCCACAGGGTGGGTCATCACAAAAAGTGTTTGCTGAGCTCTGCTCTACAGCGTTGCCATTGTTTGGTGGCAGGAGGTAGTGTACCACCATATCTAATAGGGGAAAATTAATCGCCTAGTTAGTGTCTCAACCCTCCCTACTTCAGAGTCAAGAGGACCAGAGCAAAAAGTAAGGCTAAGACACACATGTGGTGCCTCTGTTCTTCCTAGCTCTCTTCTGTGAGCACTGTGACTTGCTCTAAGGAAACACCCTTGCCGCAGTGACCCTGTGTCCTGTTCTCCGAGCTGGGTACCCAGAGTATTAGTCATTGTGGGCTGACTGTAAATACCACAGGTTGAGCAAGTTAAACAGTGGAACTTATCTACACCAGGGTCTGGGGGTTGGCAAGTGAAGGATGGAGGTCTGCTCGGGTTAGGCTGCTTTCCCAGCTCGGAGATGGGCACCTCTCCCTGTATCCTTATGGTCAGTCTTCCCTTGGTGATTTGTGTGCAGCCAGGTATCCATGTCTCATCACAGATTCTATCAGATTAGGGGGCCCATCATTACAACCTCATTTAAACGCAGCGAACTCCCCCCAAAACCCTATCTTCGTGTGGTCATCTTGGGGCCTGAGCTTGAACATAGAATTTGGAGGTGGGAGCACAACCCAGGGGAGGACTGTCGGTGCCTTTTCTTACTTGGTCACTTTTCACACATGACCTGGCAGTATCCCAAGGCAGAGCATTGGTTACAGCTTTTGGGAAAGCAAGACTTTCTTCTCCTCTGAACCCAGAAAAATGTCTGGCTAGGCTAGCCCTTAGCATAGAGAGTGACCTGTCAGAGCCCAGTCCATTAGGAGAAAACAGAGCTAAGAGGTAGAAGGAAAACAGGAACATGTGGACTTATTGGACCTAGATTCAGCTTAACCTGAAGTAGGATCACCTTCGACCCCTCCATTAACGTGATGCAACACATTTTCCCTTAAACCATGTCTGACTGTATTTCTGTCCCCTTTAACTTGTTAGCTAGTCTGTAATTGCTTACCTAATACACGTTCTGAGACAGTCAGCCTCTTTGCATCCCTGTCACTGTCCAGTAGACCCGTGAAGAAAGTGGCCGTGGTGGCAGGTTATAGATGGGCTCAGCAAAACAGACCTCCACTCAGAAAGCCTGACCTGGCTACAGTTGCTGCTGAGTGCCAGATCTACCAACAGCAGAGACCAACAGATACGATACCATTCCCCAGGAATGAAGGTATGGTCACTCCTCCAGGAAAAGAGCCAAGACCTGCTGAAGTGCTTACTGAGAGTGGAGGAAATACAGAATGGCCTGTAGAGGAAGGTAGTTATAAATACCAGCCAAGGCCACGTGACCAGTTGCAGACAGGATTATAATGGACACAAGTGTTTCTGTCATATTTTGTTAGGAACGTGTGCATATGAACACATACGCTAAACAGATGGTTATGCTTTCTTCCATTTCTCTAATGTAACATAGCACAGGTTTAGATAATGTCAGTGTTTATTATCATATTTAAGTCATGAGACGCTAAAAGACTAAGCATTCCTCAAGGACATTGCCATCTATTCTAAAGTATGTAATGCTTTAGTGATTGTATGTGACTAATTATATCATGTTGGGCAGAATTATGACCTAGTTATTGTTCTCATTTGGAAATTAGGCATGATATAAGGCAATGTGACTGTATGTCAGGTTGTCAAGGGGTGGGTGTATGGTGACAAATCTTGGTTGTCAACTTGACTGCATCTGGTATCAACTGAAACACATGGGCACCCCTGTGAGGGATTTTCTTGATTGGATCATTTGAAATGGGACTAGTCACCCTAAATCTGGGCCTCAGATTTTGGTGGCACCCCAAATAAAAGGACATGGAAGAGGCAAGCTTTTGCTTTTTGCCTACTGGTCTTCACTCTTGCTGGCAAGTTCATCCATTCTGCAGCTGAGCATTCCTTCACTAACGTTAGTTAGAACCTACTGGTTCAAGATTCCAGCATAAAATAAGGATCAGTAGCTCCCTAGGAATCTTCTGGACTCTGGTAACAGCATACGTGGGATCTAAAAATAAACCCAGGGGGCTGGGAGATGGCTCAATCAATATAACACTTGCTTCACAAGCATGAAGACCCTGGTTTCTTCCACAGAATCACTGTGAGGAGGCAGGTACAGAGAGGCAGCACATGATGGCACTCATGTGAAATCCCAGCACTGGGGAGGTGAAAACAAGCAGATCCAGGGAGCTGCTGGCCACTGAATCAGCAGCCTCAGGCCCAGTGAGAGACACTGTCTCAAAATCCAAGATGGAGCTGAGGAATAATGCCCAAGGTTGCCTTACAGCTTCCACATATAGATGTGAGTGAACACACACATACACACACACACACACACACACACACACACACACGCTTCTGACTGGTTCAACCAGGATCTCCTGGACTAATGCCGGGAGGAGCCCTGTCCTGGTTCCCTGGCTGGGCTCTCATATGTTCTAACTCATTTACCCTTGCCCTCCTTATACAGCAGCCGGTGTAATAAATGTGAACAGATACAGATGACCCTTCAAATACGTTCAGATGGTTTATGTTATGAAAAAGCACAGGCTTTCCAGGCTTCTGCAGAGTCCTCAGAAAGGACTCAGAAGGAAACGCCCCGAGGATGAGAAGGGACCCGTGGACCTCTTCCCTGATCACCCTGCCCTCTGACTCCTCCAGATGGAAGCACAACTCTGCAAAGACTGTGTGACCTTGGGTGATCTTTGGAACCTGACTGGGCTCTAGTATCAGTAAAACAGAGAAGATACTACTTATTACTTATTAGCAATAGATATTAGCACTAATGTCTAATCAGTATGTATTAGCATTAAAGTGCAGAGTGACGGTGTACCATGTGACTAATGCAGGCACTTTGCAAAACCAAAACAAAACACAGTTCTTTCTTTTTTAAAAAGTGTGTGTGTGTGTGTGTGTGTGTGTGTGTGTGTGTGTGTTTGCATACACGAGGAGGTCAGAGGATAACTTGTGGAACACTTCTCTCCCTCCACTATGCAGGTTCCAGAATCAAACTCAGGTGATGAGGCTGGGCATCAAGCCTGTCTCCTGCCCTGTAAAAACTATCGTTATCACCTTCCACCAGCTCGCCTGCCCGGGGTCTCAAATCCAACGCTACCCCCTCAAGACACCCTACCGTTTGGGCAGGACTCTGGGGGAATCACCTTTGGAGGATCAACCTATAGTCTTTCATTCAGTTTCCTTTCAGAACATCTGCTGGTAGGACCTTTGTTTTTGAGACAGTCTATGTAGCCGAGACTGGCCTTGAACTCATGACCCTAGCCTCTGGAGTACAGCGATCAGAGGCAGTCACCACCACCCTTCTCTGTTCATAGTCTCATTTTATAAGGCTGTGAGCTTGAATAGCAGGCAGGAGAATCTCCACGCCTTCAACCGGACTCCCAGCCCTTAAGCCCCTGCCTAGTGCTTAGTAGGTACTCAGCGTAGGTTTACAAGACAGCACAGCCGCAGACAGCTAGGGGCCACTTCCGCCCGAGCCTGCCACGCCGCCAGCGGGACTCGCTGGGGGTGGGGCCGGGCGAAGGGAGGGCCGGGCGGTGGGGCTGCAAGCCTTCCTCCGGCAACTTCCCAGTAAGTGCGGGATCAGATGCAGCCACCGCCCCGGAACCAGGCCTTCCCAGTTCTGCCTTCCAGGAGGGGGCCCAGGAGTAGCCCTCGGGAGTGCAGTCTCCCGAAAGTCCCGAAGTCCCTCTGGCCACCCGGCGTCGAAGCAGGCGGAGGCTGGGAGGGGGCCGCCCTCCCCGCGAGGCTCCACACTCCGGCATTTCCTCCCGGCTGCCCGGCGCGGCCTTCCCCTCCGAAAGAAGAAAATCCCGGGGCCCGAGTAACCCGGCCGATCGCCCCCGTGCACAGCTGCGGCCGAGCAAGGAGGGCCGCCCAGGGTAGGGTAGGAGTCCGGGGCAGAAGCCAGCCCAGGGCAGCACGGCTGGGACTGAGCGGGACAGGGACAGGGCGCGGTCAGGGGCCGGAGCGAGCTGCGCGGGCGGCGCCTGGAAGGGGAACTTGAGCTGAGAGTGGAGGCAGAGCAGCGGGGCTGCTGGCCCCGGCGCTGCGAGCGAGGAGCCTCCTCCAAGGCCAAGGACACGGGGGCCTCGGGGCCGCCGGGACGCTGCGCGCATGCTGGGCAGGGGACACCACCCGGGCTCGCGCCCTGGGCCACCCGGGCTCCTGGCATGTCCGTGCGGTACACGCTCAACCTGCGGGTCTTCTGGCCCTTGGTGACCGGGCTGTGCACGGCGCTGGTGTGCCTCTACCATGCCCTACGCAGCAGCGAGGACGCCCGGGCCGAGCCCTCCGACGGCGCAGACAGCGGCTTCCCGCTGCTCAAGGTGGCCATCCTTCTTCTCCTCGGCTACATCCTCCTACGATGTCGCCACGCCATCCGCCAGCGCCTCTTGCCAGGCTCTTCCCGCCCGTGTGGCCATGCCAACTTCTCAGCCAGATCTTTGCAAGAGCCAGGCCTGAGCATCTTACTGGAGAGTTACTATGAGCACGAGGTGCGCCTATCGCCACATGTGTTAGGTCACAGCAAGGCGCACGTGAGCCGGATCGTGGGGGAACTGGTGCAAGCTGGCCGGGCCCGAGGGTCTCCGGGCCCCATCACCGGGGGAGCGCTGGCTTTGGCCTTCCGAGGAGACTTCATCCAGGTGGGTAGCGCCTACGAGCAGCATAAAATCCGTCGACCTGACAGCTTCGACGTGCTGGTGCCACTGCGACTCCCGCCGCAGGTGGCGCTGGAGCCGCGGAGTCTGGGGACCGAACCTACGCTGACCCCGGCCTTCCGCAGCTGCTTCGTGTGTGCCCTCAAGGCACCGCCCTCGCCATCGGGGACCTCGACAGGTCAGTGGCATCGCGACTGCAAGCCCTTCGCTGAAGGCTTCTGTGTGGATGTGCAGGGCCGTCGCCACCTCTCAGCTACCCTGGTGCTGCGCTGGTTCCAGGCGCACCTACAGCGCTCCTTGGCCACCGTCCGCTACAGCTTGGAGGGTCGCTGTCGGGTCAGCCTGACCCCAGGTGGTCTGGAGCAGCCCCCCACCCTCCACATCCTTCCTTGCCGTACGGACTATGGCTGCTGCCGCCTTTCCATGGCTGTGCGCCTCATCCCTGCTGTCCACCTGGGTGACGGCGTCTTCCTTGTGGCACCGCCGCCACCACCCTCGCCTAGCGGAGCCCTGTCAGAGCTCCCAGGTGGCCTGTGCGCCGAAGCACTGTGGGGTGTGAACACAGCACGTCAGGAGCAGAAACTGCTGGGCTGGCTTCAGGAACGGGCACCTCCAGGTGCCTGCTACCTCAAGTGCCTGCAGCTGCTTAAGGCTCTTCGAGACTTGGGTGCCCGCGGGCTGGACCCGATGGCTGCTACACACTGGGGACGCATCTTGTCTTCCTACGTGCTCAAAACGGCGGTGCTGGAGGTGCTTCTGAACGAGGGTGGCCCAACGCCTAGCTGGGACGAGGCACACCTGAGCGAGTGCTTGGAGAAGTTGGTGAAGTTCCTTAGGGACTGCCTGCTGCGACGCCGAGACCTCTTCCATTGTGTCCTAGGCCCGGCTGGGGCAGCTGCCGAGGTTGGCCCCCTGCCCAAGGTGCTGCGCGAGGCCGCTCCAGTTGACCTCCTGGCACCTTTCGACCCGCACGCCCGGGAGCTTGCAGCTGCGCGGTTGCTGTCCACCTGGCGAAGGTTGCCCCAGCTTCTCCGGGTCTACGGTGGTCCCCGCTACCTTGCCAGGTGCCCCGCACCCCGGAGTCAACGCAAGCAGGGCTTCCCTGAAGATGAACCATGAGCACCGATTAACTCCACCTGACCAAATGCCCCTTTCCCTCGGATTGAAAGCACGGATGGCAGCTAAATTCAAGACAAGCTGTTCGGGTGTCGGAAAGTTTGAAGGATGTCACAGGATCTGGTGGCACAAATGTTCTGTCCTAGGCTCCTTCGCCTAAGATAGCAGTGGTGTCTTCTGCAGACCTAGTAGAGTATCCTGGGTGGTCTTATATGCAGATCTCTCTGCCCCCAAATTATTAGAAGCAATCATTTTTTATATACATATTTGGTAGACACTAGGTACTCAATTGGCCCATAGTTTTGGAGGGATGTTGCATGCATGTTTCACTGCTGGGGCTGGAATCCTGGACCCCTATGCTAAGTGGGCCCTCTACCATGAAACCACATCCTGGTCCCCTAGTTGTTTGCTTGTTTGTTTTTAAAGAATTCTTATCCACAACTGGAATTGAAATTCTAGTCCAGCTGTTAGCATTCCAGAGTCCTAATTTAGCTATTTCCATGAGCGTGCATGTATTTTTTAGTGGTGCCATCACAGGTTTGTTGAATAAGATTAATGGAGTTGTCATAAGTTAAGTGACCCATGCTAAGAGGTGGCCAAGAGCTGGGTAGAGACTTTCAGAGCAAGTGGCACTTTATGTCCAGCCATTTTCTTGTGCTGTGTTTGTTGGAACCGAGGGCTGTTCAAAAGAGCTTCCGCACAGTTATATGAAAGACCAGGGCTCTGAAAAGCAGCCAGTGGCCATTCAGCACTCCTCCAGGTCACAGGGGGTGTGGGGGGGATTTGCACTTGACACCCAATACTGTTCATTTCAGCCAGGCAGAATGCAGAGGGGGGAAAAGGTCCTTAATTAAGACAAGTCTGGCAAAAGTGTAGAACTAAGTCTTGAAAAAGATCCTGCCTAGGGCTTACCGTCAGCTGGACACAACCCGCTTATGTTTCAAAGCTTCTGAGCAAAGGCCCTGTAGGCTTGTCTTAGAGTATAAGGACCTTTGAGGAAGGAGAAAATGCTTGGCATGCTGCCTGGTATGGGTTAGGGTTCAGTGATGGCTGATATCGGGGTAGTGGTTGGAAGGTTCTTGATTACCCGGGCAGCCTTACGTCGTCTTGAAGGCCGGTTCTTGCTTGTGCTTATGACTTGTAAAGTAGTAGCTTGAGGCGTGTGCTTGGAGACCTGTTAGTCCCCAGCAGTAGGCAGAAGAGATTGGTGACAGGAGCTGAGGGAGAAAGGAAGGAGCTGCTCTTACAGTGCTTTGCTCTTCTCGGCCTGGGTACCTCTTGCTGTTGGGAGGAGCCCATTCTCCAGTGCCTTCAATCCTCCCGCCTTCCAGACAACTTCCAATAGCAGTTCAAGTTTAGAAAGCTTCATCTTCCTCTCTCCTGGTGGAACGTGTGGCCAGTCTCAGTAATACACTTAGGGATTTTTTTTTTTTTAAACAACAAAGATCTGTGCTCCCTTAGACTCTTTAAAGTGAAGGTTAGAAGACAAAAATAGTCACATGAATAAGGTCATTGTTTAATTTCTTAGCTGTGTGGAGGGAACTCTGCAAACCCCTTTTTCTGGGGCACCCAGTTGGCAATCGAGGGGAATAGACTGAGGGACTTCTCATTTGTCCTTTGCAACTCCAACTGAAAGAGAAACAACTCACTGAGTTGTTTTAGGGGCCATTCCTCTTGATACCCCAGAGGTCATTCCTAGTTTTTTGAGGCCAATACTTGGTCATAAGGTACGGCATTGGATGAAAGGGTTGGTCTGTCAGCCTCTTGAAAAGATAGAAATTGCACAGTGGATTTGATTTTAATTACTTTAAAAAGCCAATGCCAAGGGAAGATTGTGCGCGCCTGTGTGTGTGTGTGTGTGTGTGTGTATGTGTGTGTGTATGTGTGTGTGTGTATGTGTGTGTGTGTTTGTCTGTCTGTCTCTCTGTGTGTGTCTGTGTGTCGCTGTGTGTGTGTGTATCTGTGTGTACAATACACACATGACTTCTATACTCAGTCTGTTGCTTCCTCTGTAGTCATTAAGATAGAAGAGGGGAGAGACAAGTTTCCAACTATTTCTAGCTAGGCTAGGAATTTCTAGCTAAGGAATCCTTTTATTTTTTTTAAATCTTGATAATATTTTAAAGTATAAATCTGGTTAGGATCATAAAAATGAATAGCTTATATAAATATCTTTTTGTAGTTTTTTTTCCTTTTTTTGTGTGTGTCAATTACCCAAAGCTTCATCCATCCTCAAACTTTTAAAGTTTATTATTATTATTAAATTAATGGGCATTGTGTTTGTAAATTTTTAAAAAATATTAATGTTTTATTTAAGTGCCATGCTCTGAACAGTTGTTCTCACTATGTGGCAACAAAAATTTAAGAGATTTCGATCAATTTTGATCAATGTTTAGTGATCTGAAACATGTACTGTGTACAGATGCAATAATACAGCTGTTAACCGAGTACAGTGGCTGCCCAAGGCCTTTACATTCAGCTCAGTTCTGCATTTCATTATGGCGACTGTCATGGCCTCTATCTGACATCTATCTATACACTTTTGGTGTCTATTTGGTGCTGGAGAGTCATATATGCCAATATTTTCATACAAGATGGCTCTACCAAAAAATAAAAAGAGTTGTTTAGCCAGTGCCCAAAGAAAACGGCTTGAGGAAGATGACTCAGCTCTTTTGCATCCAGCCACTTCAGTAACTCCCACTGCCCAGCTCGGAGCCTTCCTGGAATGCTCGTGGGCTGGGAGAATATGCGTTTTGCAAAATGAAGGAGAGGACAGTTTGAGTGGATGCAAATATTCTCTGAGGAGTTGGGGGAGGAGGACTTAAGGTGTGTGTGAAAGGGAGAGATGGGGGGGAGACAGGTGAAGACACCTCAAGGGTGGGAGAGAGATTTGGGTGAGGAAATGTGTTTTTAGGTATGTGCTGTTTCTGGTCAGGAGTCACAAACTCAGAAGCCTAAAGGCAGGGAGATAAATAAGAGGTGGGAGGGTGTGGGGACTCCGCCTTCCTTAAAGGAGGCAGCTCACCTCAGGCTGGAAAAGAAAGGGTGGGGCCAAAAGTCAGCATTTCAAATTAAAATACTAAAGCTCACTGGTCTTTAAGAAGTAATTTAAGATGTCTAAAACCACCAAGTGAGCCAGATATTTGGTTGAACCTGAGGACACCAGTTTGCAACCCCTTGCCCAGTTAGCCTTCCCCCAGGTATATACAGGCTTATCCTCTTTGCCATAGAGACAATGGTTAAATATATATATATATATGGGGGGGGGTGTTAGTTCATTTCTACTTTATCTCTCAGAGTTAAGCTTTGTTATAGGAATAACAGCAGAAAAAAATTAACACAGCCACAAATAACATTTATCCCCAGTTCCTGGTAGGGCTCCCATGCAAGCCTGGCCCTCCAGTTAAAATCCCAGCTAAAACACTTGGGGTGGATTTTTTTTTTTCTTTCTGGTGATTTGAGGTCAATTTCTTAGCCTAGCTGGAGCTTGCCGATGAGTAATAAAGAAGAATTGCAGAATAACTTCTTTCTTTGTATTTGGTTCTTATGTGAAAATTAATTTTTTTGTTGTTGTTGTTGTCCATAGTAACCTAGCCTGGGCCTTCACAATGTTGGTTGGAGACATTAAACACCAGCAAAACCAAAACAAAATCAACCAGCCAGTGTTCCAACTTTGAGCCAAATTGCATGGATTTGTACTATTCCCACCTCTAAGAACACTGGCAGCCTTTCTATTCCTTTCTGACTCAGTGTCTCCCATCAAAATGAGCACCAGCTGAGTCTCCTTCCAAAGCGTCTCTTGTCACCTCCCAGAGGAAATCACGTTTTCCATAGAACTGTGCTTCCTGGCTTTGACCTTGACAAAGAGATTTTCCCCCCATGTCTACACAAAGGAAAATTTTCTCCTGTGGTGGAAAAATATGAACCTCACCCAAATTTCTGACATCCCCAAGAGGGAAACTGGCTCAGTGTTACCCCTGTGGTATGTGTTAGTTTTTTTCTTTCTTTGCTTGTCTGTAACTTAGACATATCTATTTATTTTTTATGGCACATGGTGGGGTGGGAGTAATGCCAGTGTATAAGTCAAGAGAGGGTGGTAAATTCCAGATCATGTACACAGAAAAAATGGATGGAGAGCTACAGCTAACTGATATGTAATCTGGTTCTGGGAATATTAGATATGCAGGGATATTTTAGCACCTTTTGAGGGGGGAGACAAAAGATGTCTTGGTTCAGTCACTTGAAGCATTCCAGCTCTGGCTGTTTTTAACGTGCCTTCTGACCCCACACTGCATATAGGAATACAGTTTGGGGTCACAGTTACAGCCTAAGTTTGTTCCAATAAAAGAGACCAAAGAGTTAATCAGACCTAGTTGGCTGCTATAACAACTGTGTGATTAAGGTGTCTTCATTGCACAGTTTTCATGGCCCTGGTGGTCAAGGCCTCTCTGTCACTCATCTTCATTCGAAGTGGAGTGTATTTGCACTTTCGATCCTGTGGGTCACTAGGGGACCTTGTTCTTTCCAATTTTGCTATATCAATAAAGGAACTTGTGGAAACCTCTGGACTGTGTGTGGGCTTTAGGGATCCGGGTACTGGTGCCTGTATCTGCACTAGTTTAAACTTATTTGTACAAACCTCAGTGGCAACCCCCTGAACCTCCCCCGTGTGTGTGTGTGTGTGTGTGTGTGTGTGTGTGTGTGATGGGTTCTGGGGATTAAACTCAGATCCTCCTCCTGCTTGGGTGGCAATCACTTTACCAGCTGAGCCACCTCCCTAGCCTACCACAGAGACTTTTCTGGGACTCTGTCTCATGATCCTGCTGGAGAGAATTGTTTGCCCATGGAGAAGAAAATGCCCCACAGGGGTACAGCTGTGCCCCTACCAGCCCCTTCCAACATGATTCAAGTATTGGCCTGTGGCTAATGCATAGTTCAAACATTTTGCCCAGAAACTGCCTGGGCCCTGGGGCCCTCTTGACACGGTTAACTGCTAATACTGAAAAACACCCAGCTTAGCGGAGATGGAATCTTGGAGACCAAGTTGTGCGGTTGACATCTCAGCCAGGTGGGCCTCAAGGAAAGCTGCAGCTACCGCTGACTAGGTACTCAGGGTTAAGCCTCAGGGAAAGTTGATGAGTATGTTTTATTTGGTTTTCAATTAAAGTTGTAATGTCCCGGGCCTTTGAAGACAGTGCAGAGATGGCAAAGACACACTGCCTCTCCCAAGTTTACAGACAGGAGCTGGTAATCAAGCTTCCAAATTACAGACAGGGGGCTAGGGTACTCGGCAGGGAAGTCAATGAAACCAACAAGAGGGAAACCTCCTAGGGTGTAGAGATTTCCAGGAGGGCTGCTTGGAGAGGGTGGCACCTAAGTAAAGATCTAAATTAGCCAAGCCAAGGAAGTTGAACTGCTGAGGAAGACTACACCAAGCCCCACAGTGAGGGAACTATGTGACAGAGGAAAACTGGTCACCTCACAGTTACCAGGAACCAAGGAAAGGAAGGAACTATGGTCACAGTATCTGCTCTCAATGACCCGGCCTCCTTTCTCTATGGCCCAACCCCCAAGGGCTCCGCGATCTGCCCCCAGCACTAGAGCCCCTAGACCACGCCTCTAACATAGGGACTTAGAGAGACCGTAAGACCCAAGCCATCCCAGAAATGCATGGAGGAAAGGCTACATTTGGCTATAGCTTATAAAAGTCTAATCTACAGTGACATCAACAAATAAAGATTTCAAAATCCACCCCCTCTAGTAGCCTGGATGTAGGGTTCCACAGTTGAAGGATGATTCAGGATCGGGGAATCCTTTTGCTTTGGATTTTCAGATAGTTTTATCTTATCTTCATGCAGTGTATGTCAAGATTCCACAATGATCACTATCTTTTCCTACATCTGACTTGTTGGAGAGGAAAACTGACTATGGAAAGCAAAGGACTTCCTCTTGCTTTCTATTGGACAGAGCCATGTCACATGACATATTTGCAAAGGAAACTGGGAAAGAGCCTGGTGCGTGGCTTTAAGCAGCCCTGAGTGAAATAGAAAAGGCTAATGGATATTTGTGGTTACCTGCCATAGAATCTGCCAATAAGCAAAGTCCTAGAAACATATTCCAGAAGATTCTACCAGAGAAGGGAGCAGTAGAGGACCTACCACTTCATATCTACTTGATTTAGACTGTCCTAAGTTGGCTTACCATAAACTTGACAGGTGTGCCTGGTCTAGGGTCATTCATGTTTATTCATGATGATGATTTTCATTTTTTGTTAAGTCAGTTAATTTTTTTTTAATATCACCCTCCAATATTCAACATGAGAGTGAAAATTCATCCCTTTATAGGGGTGTTAGAAGAACAACTCATGGACACGGGGGAAGCGTGAGTCAGATGTTAGCAGTCTGCCCCTAGGATCTGCACACCAGATTGTTGGAATGAGCAGAGAGTGAGTTTACAAGAGGGAATCCCCCTCAGGCCTCATTTCTTTGTTTCTCTATCCCAAGACTTTCTTTTTGGTGGGACCAAGGTTGACTGCAGTTTTGAACACTTGGAGTAGCTGTCCGTAGAAAGAGGTCCATCCAGTTAGAGGCTTCCCCACGGCCATTTCCTTCTTCCACAGGGCCTCATCTTCTCACCAAAAGTTCTACAGTTGTCTTAATTGCTAGAGTTCCAGGCACAAGGCACAGGTTCTCATTGGCCCTGGTCCTAGCTTTCTTAGGACACACCATAGACTTTGCAAAGATACCCAAACTTGGAGTCCTACCGTATGCCAATGAGATTAGAATCTTAGAGAGTGCAGTCTAAGCAAGATCAGAGCTCCACGGATGAATTTAGATTAGACTCATTAACCACTGACTTCTGTTTGGTGGCCCTTCCAGAACCCTCTGGCTGTGATTTCAACATCAAGAATGACGGAACCAGTTGGTATTTGTCATATCTGCTTCCTGGCAGAGACAGAAAGGTTGAAGGGTCAGCAGCAGAGGTGATAATGGACGGAACTCTTGGGCTGAGAGACACAGGCTAAGCATTATTGCTGAGCAGGCATGGGGCTTACATTTGCAGGCACTTCTCCTTTCTCTAACCCCAGGAAGACAGAGATGAACAAAGATGTTGGAGCCATAATGAAACTTCTCCATAGAGAAAAGCTTCAATATCAGAAAGAAAGACACTCCTCTCCTTCTCTAATCTACCGTCCAGGAGAGAGCATCCCCAGACTCTCGCTTTCTGTCAGTGACAAAATACCAGACATAATCAAGTTTTAAAAAGAAACAGTCAGAGAAAACCTGTCTCAAGAAGGAGAGAAGGAGGAGGAAGAGAAGGAGGAGGAAGAGGAGGAGGAGGAAACAGTCCACTTGGGCACAGTCTTAGAGGCTTCAGGCCATGGTCAGTTGGCTCTTTTGCTACTCCCTCATTGCCATAGGAAAACATTAAGGAAGAGATAGGGTTGAGCTTCCCTTCAATGGCATGACCCCCGGTGACCTAACTTCTTCCCACCGGGCCTAACCCCGTAATGGTTCAACCTCCTGCCTCCCAATCACATCGTGGACTGGGAACCAAGTCTTTCACACATGGCCTTCAGGGAGAAGCGTTCAAGATTCAATGTGCAGCAGCTATTGCCTGTCTTCATAAAATGTTAGCTCTTCTCATGAACACCCAGTGTCTTTGTCCACGTGTGCATGCACAGGCCCCGTGTGTGTGACGTCGGATGTGGGTGTGCATGCATATTCGTGCATATGCGTGTGGTAGTCAGAGGTCAACCTTCAGTGTAATTTTCAGGCTCCATCTGCCACCTGTTTTTGGTTTGGGTTTTGATTTTGTTTTGAAACATAGTCTTTAAGTGGCCTAGAACTCACCCAGTTGACTAAACTGACTGGCCACCAAGCCCCAAAAATCCATCCCCCTGTCTTCACCTCCACAGTACTGACATTACAACCCTGTACCACCACACCTGGCTTTTTAACATAGGTCCTGGTGACAAAACTCAGGTTCTCATGAAACCAAGGCAAACATTTTATCAACAGAAGAAAAACAGATCACTGTACAGCTCTCTCCCTACACCCCCTCTTTAAGTGCAGTGACTCTGAACTGGCCCTGAAGAGGAAATTCAAGTCCATTGAGTCACCTTCCACTGAAGCCAGGGGGAAAGAACCCAAGAATCCCTTTGCCTTTCAGACCTAATCGAAAGCTTTTAAAGACCTAATCTCTTAAAGATATATGTCTTCGTGGCTTATTTAATCATTAGTCACTTCAAATCAGGGGCTAGGCCTCTAATGAGTGGCTTTTGATACCTTATCAAAATGAAAGAATCAAAACATTTCTGCCATGGAGACGAATGGCCAAGGTGCTGGGGATGAGCGGCCTTCTAAATCTCAAGGGCAAGAAACTGTAGACACTGCTTCACTTGTCTCAGATGTCACATGGGCAAAATCTGTGTGAGCCCTGTGCTTTTTCTGATAAATACAGTTAACTTTCCATATCCATGGCTTGAACATCTGTAAGTTCAACCATCCACAGACTAAAGATTCAGAGGAAAAATAAAAACTGAGTCTGGAGGCCAGCAAGACGGTTCAGCAAGTAAAAAACACTTGCCCTAAAAGCCTGCTGGGAACTGACTCTTAAAAGTTGCCCACTGACCTTCACATACACGCTTGTGGCATGTTCATACCCACATGTACACATATATGCACACATACATGCACACATACAATAATAATACATCTAGAAACTTATATCTGGAGATGACAAGATGGCGCCCCAGATAAAGGTGCTTAGTCAGCTTTAAGCTAAGCTGACTCCTGCAATCCAGAAGGGGTTGCTGTACAACACATGGATTTAAAGAACACAGGAGACGTTCATAGTTTGGGGAGGAAGGACCTCACTCTGTAGTTCTGGCTCACCTACAACTGGGTCTCCCAAGTGCTAGGATTACAGGCATGAGCCACCGTGTACATTTATTTGTTGTGGTTGTTGTTATTGTTTTTCCTGTCATTGTATGCAGAAGACCTGGGCATCCACAGTTTAAGTGGGTCTTGGAGTGGGTCTTGGATTGGGTCTTGGAGCTGATCACTGAAGGATGCTGAGGTGCTATTTGATCTGGTTTTCAGAAGCCAGCTAGTTAGTAGTGATCTGCTCTTTCCAAGTCTTCAGAGAGCATTGGAACTCCCTCTTCGTATTCACGGATACACGAAACTGCCCTCAGAGTCTGAGCCCTCTAAAGGAGAGGCACTTCCACATGCTTGCTAGCTACGCATTATCCTCTACTTCAAAGTCCCCTGCAGGTGCACAGGGCCAAGTGACCAATTATATGCAATGGGCAGGGAGCAGAAGAGACATGTGCTTGGTCCTGCAGGGGCAATGACAGTGCCCAGTTACAATGACAGCATCTTAAATTGCAACTGAGTCATTGACACATAATCACTGCCTGTAAGTCACAGGAATTATATTTAGACAGCAGAGAAATCAGCCTTTGTGATGTCAGGCTTCTGAAGCTAACATTGGGGTTTCTTGTCCCTACAACACAGCCTAACCTAGCCTAGCCTAGCCTAACCTAACCTAACCTAACCT